TTAGTCCCCGAACTTTGGATCCCTTACAATTTAGCCATTTTCTCCAAATTTGTCAACTTATTCTTATTTTCGTCGATTTCACCAACTTACATCACAACATCAAAATCACACATCTAATTATTTATCAATTACATAAACATTATATCATTAATTATTTACTTAACCAAAAAAAATTACATCTTTATTAATAACAAATAATTCTTAAACAAAACTTAAATATAAACTAGGCAAACGTGCATTGCACGTTGCTTGCACCTAGTAAATAAGAAATATTCCAAAGTTATATAGCAAAAATTGCTATATTTATCCGAGTTCTCATGTACGGAGACTGCTAGCATTCTCGTTTTGTCACATTTTGCATTTCTTTGATCACATGATATTGTAAGTTTCTCCTTCAATCGTAACATAAGTCATGTTAAGGTGATATTATTTGGAACTACGATTTAAGTGGTCTTGTTTCCCCGCCACTTCCATTCGTCGTCTACATGGACAAATTGTCCCCTATGCCTGACAATCAATCTTAGATTATTACTCATACTTGAAAATTTCGAGATACCAATGATAAACATTCAGCACATTAATATATCAAACTTTAATAGCATGCAAGTGATAACTACAAATAGATAATACCAAGCAGTAGCAAATCAATTAGATTGACAGTTAAATTGTCATTCTCGACATTTACAAACTGTCGAATTCGACATTTTAACTATTCGGTATTCACAATCTAGCCCAACAGTTGAATTGTCGTATTTACGGTTTGCAACTGACGGGAATCATTTAATGAGTGTCATTAGAATACATTCTTCATTGCATTAAGTGTTCATCAATGCTCAATTACCAAATAACAAAATCTTCACAAAGAATTTACACAATACTTCGTTAAATAGGGAATCTAACTATATTTTATGGAGGAAGTTGTCAATCAAAGAAATCTACAAAAGCAATCCAAATGAATGAATAACAATTTGCAAATAAGTATGAGCACATTATATTTAACAATTTCATACTAGTAGGTTATAAGATAAAAACAGTAAATGATTTATAAATACAAACCCTCAAACTTGAAAATGAATCAAAAATTACTTTTTTCTTGTGTTTATAATGGAGAAGACTAAAAAAAACTTGTATTTTTTTAGAAAAATTATCAATCATCTACATAGCAAAAGATTATGAAATAATTTTAACTATTTTTTTTATTAACTATTATTCTATTACACATTGTGGGTGTGTTTGAGTCACATTATTTTGGAAAAATGTATTTTGAAATAGTAGCTTGATGGAGAATGTGTGGTTGAAAAAGAAGGAAAAATTATTGATATGATGGAAAATATTATTTTATTTAAAAATTATTGTTTAAGTCATATTATTTTGGAATAATGTATTTTGGAATAGTAAATTGATGGAGAATGCGTGGTTAAAAAAGAAAGAAAAATTATTGATGTGATGTAAAATATTATTTTATTGAAAAATTTGTGGTTGAAAATGAATAGAATAATGAGAATGAAAATTTTAATTTGACTCAAACAAGGGGCTGTATGTTAGATATATTCATAGGATTTTCTTACACGTCAGCTATCAAATCATGGCATTAAGCTCATGTTTGACATCCATTAAAATTATAATTTATTTTTCTCTCTATTCTCATCCACACATTATTCAATAAAATAATATTACACATAATCCTAAAAAAATTCTTTTTTAACTACACATTTTTACTGTTTGGTGCACATTAAAATGAAAAAAATATATTTTTTGAAGTGATGTGATGGGGAATATGTGGTTGAAAAAGAAGGAAAAGTTATTGATGTGATGAAAAATATTATTTTATTGAAAAATTTGTGGTTGAAAATGAGTAGAATAATGAGAATGAAAATTTTAATTTAACTCAAACAAGGGGCTGTATGTTAGATATATTCATAGGATTTTCTTACACGTCAGCTATCAAATCATGGCATTAAGCTCATGTTTGACATCCATTAAAATTATAATTTATTTTTCTATCTATTCTCATCCACACATTATTCAATAAAATAATATTACACATAATCCTAAAAAAAAATCTTTTTTAACTACACATTTTTCAAAAAAAAAAAACTATTCCAACAATTAAAATTTCGAATAATATGTGCACCCAAAAATGTATTTACAAGGATATTTTGCACATTTTGCATCCAAGAAAAGATTTTTTGAGCACCTCTTGAAAAAGTAACAATTTTTTTTGTAATTGATAATGTAAGGACATCTATACAAAATTCCTTTTTCGAAAACACTCTATCAGTCCAAATAAGACAACTGACAACCCTAAATGGACACAACATATAATACAGTTATTATACAAGAAATTTTGTGACCACAGGCACTGAGAGAGACCGCAAATTGGCAGTGAAATTATGAAACTGAAATTATCACAAAAATAGGCAATGAAGAGTGGAAATTTTTATCGTTCTTCTTCCCAACCAAGCACTGGGAAGCATACAGGTACAGCGTGGGGACATTATCTTCAGATCGCCAAAAATATACAAGAGAACTTTCAGGTATTTTGCAGCTTTTTTCAAAGCTGTGGAGAAGATTGGTACACTTGCTATTTGGCTAGAATCGTATGTTCTGACCATTAAACTTAGGGGAAATTTTGAACCAAATAGTAACGTTAATTATAATTTGTCTGTGAAATTTTGAACCAAATATTCACCTAAAGTAGAATATACAGTCTTCATAATCTTGCGAAGGCTTTTTGTGTTTTAAGTGTTGAATTTATTTTGAATTTTATGTTTTGAGTGTCTATTTTGAAATTGTTGAAAATGTGTTCTTTTTGACATTTTGAAAAATTATTTTGAAAACATCCAAAACGCGTTTTGAAAATTTTGACTTGATTATAACTGAAAATACCAAAAACGACAAATTTTTTTGGGTTTTCTTTATAAATTTTTAACTTGTTTTCAAAAATGCGTTTTCGAAAATAGAAAAAAGAACGAGCGTTTTGAAAATTTTGATTTAATTATAGCTGAAAACACCCAAAACGACAAATTTGAGTTTTCTTTATAAATTTTTAACTTGTTTTCAAAAACGCGTTTTCGAAAATAGGAAAGAGAACGCGTTTTCACTGTTTTGGAAAATCGAAAACAGAAAATAGTTTGAAAATAGTAAAAAGAACAGGCCCTTAATTGTTGAGTAGTAACATAATTTCAAGAGCTAAATTCATTTTTTCATCGAGCCCTTGTTTGGTAAGAATTAAAATCAAGATTTTAAGTTAAGTCAAATTCACAATTAATTTCTACCATATATTTTAGTTCCAACATCTACTAATTTTAATCTCTACCAAACAAGGGCCGAATATCTAATGCATACAATTTCATAAAAACATTGCGAGAAAATTTGAAGACCAAATCGACAGAACTTATATCACGTTAAATTATCTTAACCAAAATTCTAAACAAGATTAATCATAAAACTAATTCATAACTGTAAAAGGTGAAGAGTGAAAATAAATAATTAATTAAGGCAAAAACTCAGTGTTACCAAGAAGGTCAGCAAATAAACCCTACTTCTCAGAAGAGCTGGTTTTCTTGTTTTAGCTGTTATAACCATTATGGATCCATAATCACCATCTAATCATCTTCATTTTCCAACATCCTTCACAGATTTACCACTTTTCAGAATCCATATTCCCAAGTGTGAATGGAATCCCAAAGAGATATCTTTCTCAACTTGCTTTGAATTTCTTACGTTTCAAATCATATATTTGGTGCCATTGAATTGTTTTCCTCCTCCCAAAACAATCCTCTTAAACCCTCCATTAATGGATTCTGAATCTAGGTTTTGGGTTTTGTTTTAGGCCATCTGTTCATCCCCTCTAACATCACTTTCACTGGTAGAGTTGAGTTGCGTGCAGAATGGATTCTGAGAAATTATTGGTTGCACCTTTAACGGAGGAAGATTGATTCTTTGACCTGTGATTTTCTCCAAGTATGAAACAATGGCGGCCTCTCTACTTGCTGCAATGGCTTTCTCACGAGCTCGGGCCGCCGCTTCTCGCTCATACTTGGCCAGTTCTTGCTTCCTCCAAGCCTCTTCTCTTTCTCTTCTCTCTTGATCCAATCTTTCAATCACTTGTGTAAACTTCCAGTGAAGATTTTCTTGATGTTCCATAATTTGTTTAACTAAATTCTCAAGAAAATTCGCCGTTGAATCCAACTGATCCTTCATTTTCTTCCTTTTTCTTTTCTTTTTAGCCATTTTCTTGGATTCTTCTTCTCCGATAGAAGCCTCCGACGCTGGTAGATGGGTATTTACAGGCAAATGAACTGATCCAGAACCAGTTTGATTACTCCCAGGAGTGCCGATACGTTTATAAATTGCTTCAAGCTCTCCATATAGTCCACTCTCTCTCTCTAAACGGTTCATTTGAGGTTCCAGCTGAAAATACTTACAATGATCTCTCGGATTCTCTTGGAGTTGTTCTTGCTTATCCTCTATCTCGCTCTCCTCGTTGGCTACTGCTACAGTTAGTGGCTTCCTATATAACATTAGTTAGCATCAAAATCGAAATCTTAATGAAGAGAACCTTAAAAAGAGAAACGGGGAAATAATAAAGAAAGCCCTCCATTTGATTCCTCTCCCAACGTGGACCCAGTACCAATTACTGATTCAAGATGAAACAAAGACTAGACTTCCATTAAGGGAAACTTTTAACAGTGATGATCAGGTGTAAATTTGCATTAGGAGGAGTAATAAACGAACAATATTATTCCTGTGATTTAGTGCACGAAAATTACCAGAAGCGTTGTTCGATGGCAGAATCTTCTTGGTTTTGCCAACAATGAGGCATTTGCAGTGGAGTCTCGGGGACATCATATTGCTCACTCCCAGGCAACAAAGCATCTTCTCCTTCATTAATAATAACAGTACTCTCTTTATTATTTCTGCCACTCTCATGATTCAAATCCAACTTCAAACTCGCCGGGAAAAAGGGTACTGAACCACTATCTCCGCCTCCGACATAGCTGCTGATATTTTCTTGACCCGGTTCACAGTATGACTCATTTAGCCTCCTTTGTTGGTGTGGAAAATATGCCTGAAAATGATTCTGGCCTTGGAATAATTGTTGGGTAGTGGGTAGTGTATGGATTTGTTGAAGTATATGGTATTGTTGGTGAGAATTAAACTCGGTACTGTTTTGGTTCATATTTTCTTCCATGAAATTGTGCTGCAGTTGGATCCCAGGGATTTCATAACCTGAATGCATATTTTCTGTGTATTTAAAAATAAGAATTTAGATCTTGATGAGGACGAAATGAACTAGTAGAAATCTGAAAGATATCTGTGGGAAGAAGAAGTTATAGAGAGAGAGAGAGAGAGAGGGCGAGATAGGAGGAGTTTCACCGAATACTGAGATAAGGGTGCCGGGTATTTGGCCAGCTTATTTCAAATTATAATTATTTTTTTTCAATTAAGAACGAAATCTGTATTTATTTAAATTTGCATTGAGACTCCAATCAATGCGCTGGCAATATGCCAACCTTACCAGATATAAAACATAGGATCCACGAGGGTCTGATTTGTGGCCCAACAAACAAATTCTAATTACACAATTATGGTCGATTTGATGGGAATTAAAATCAAATTTTTAATATTGACGAAATACGTGGTTAAAAAATTGTAGTATGTAATTAAAATTAATTATTGATTTTAATTTTTAATTTTAATTTAGATTTTCATTTCTACCAACTAAGGCTATATTAGGTTAAGGGCAAATTTTTTTTTATAAAATATAAATTTGATTTGCACAGTCGGTTCTCTTTCTAATTGTCCTAGTATAAAGTTGATCATCAACCCATAGATGTGAGCAAATTAGTCCTTAATTTTCATCATTAGTGTACATTCAATAATCATCAATGACAATTTTTTTACAAGTATTTCTTAAACTCGTGTGATATTAAAAACACATCTCATTTCAATTTTTTATGTACCCATCCAAGTTGATGGAAAACAATTTTGCTGGTGCGCCTATTGGTTCCTTGTCAAAACATGGTTGAAGATCGATGAAATTATACTCATCTCTCTATTCCCTTGTTTAGGTTTAATTTTTTAAAATTTACTTTTTCTTAAATTCATTTTTAACCTTATATTTTATAAACGATAATTTTTAATCATATGTTTTGTCAACTTTTAAGAAAATGTATGATTTTTTTAGTTGGCGTAGGAACCCGCAGCCGCTACTCGCTAACGGAGCCCCGACCACCCCGAATGGGTGAAGGTCCGATCACTGTGAGTGTGCACTAGGTAAATCTCGTTTCATGTGTAATAGCCCGCAAACCATACAAAAATGGTAAACCATACTAAGCAAGGCCAGTGTGACGGGCTCGATCGAGGAAGTGTTAGTAGGGGATTTGAACTCGTGACATTTAATCTTCAAATTCACCTGCTCTACTAACTCGACCATCTCGAAGGGGCTCGAAAATGTATGATTTTTAATCTAAACAAAGTGGGTTATTTATGTGTCACACACGACAAAAGGAGGCAAAAAATTGAAAATGGGGAAAGAAAGGACACGTGTGGAGAAGTGTAGACAGAGAAAAGAGCAGAGGGGAGCGGCAGAGACATTCTGATTTGGAAGTATACAATTGAATTGCACGTGAATGTGTGTCCTCTCTGTCTTTTTACATTAATTTCTGTGTCCGCTGTCTGGTGTGAAAGACGAGGAACATCCAACGGCTAATATCTTTTCTATTTCTCTTGCCAGATCTATCCACGTGCACCCGTTTCTCATTTTTTTTATCCAATTAAAAAATTTCAAAAAAATTTCATAAATACTGGTGTAGACTAAAAAATAATAAAAGTCTTAAGTTAAAGTTAATAATTAATTTTAGATTAAATATATTAATCACACAATTCTTAATAATTTAATTATATTTTAATTACATTAAATGTTCACAATCTTTATAAATTATCACATTTATGTTTCAATTTTTTTTTATGACATTATTATTCTCAAATTAATATAAATTGTTCCCCGTTATGATTTATCTCCAAGATTTTCTTTAAAATAAAGTAAAATGATTTATATGTTCGTTGTATTTTTAAATAATCAAAATAATTAATAATCTGAAAATTCGATTGAATATTCGACCCTCATTTTAAAGAACATTAACAATATTTTTGGACAAAAATCGTGATAAGGACAATTTTCTAATCAATGAAATATTTAAAATAAGAATACGATGAAAAAATATATTAAGGATATAAGTGTGATTATGAATAAAATTAATGACTTTTAATAAATTTGAAATATGGTGTGTTTATGAAAAAAATGTTGTGCAAATATAATTATCTTCGATTTTAATTACATTTTATGAGATCCAAAATTTTAATCTCGGATTTTATTATTTTTTATCGAAACCTAATAAAAATATATTTTAATCCAACGGGCATTATTTGCACTTAAAATTCTTGGCATTACTTTTGTGATAGTAAGAAGTGAACCGTGTTGGGCTCCAAGGCAGCCCAACTTACCACATTGTTGGCTCAAATAGTCCAATAACTCGAAGGTTTTTCTTTTTAACATCATTTTTAAAATGTTATTTTTCATTTTTAGAAAAGTGAAAATTACCCAATTCCCTACTTTTGGAGATTCAAATTCTAAAATCAGATTTTAAGGTTTAAGTTTCAAAAATCAGATATTTTATATATAGATATAGATTTTTTATATTTAATTAATGTTAATAATAATATTATAAAAATTAATTTATAAAATAACTAAATATTTATAAAAGAAACGTAACCTGCAAAACCTAACACTCTCCTCTCTCTCTCTTCATCCATTTTCCCCGCCGTCGCCGCCCGTCTTCGCCCGCCGTCCCGTCTTCGCCCGCCGTCTTCGCCCATGGCCGACCCCTCCCCTCCCCTAGCTGCTGGCAGCGAAATCGCTGCTGTCGCTGCCTGGAGCAGCTTCGCTGCTGGGAAACCAGCAGCGAAATCGCTGCTAGTTTTCCGGCGCTGCTGGGAAACGATTTCACTTTGTATTTTTGTGGAAGAATGGGTTCCTGATTTGTGCTATGCGGTGGTGGTTTTTTGGTTTTTGATTTGTATTGTGCGGTTGCGGTGGTGGTCGTGGTAGTGGGTGATGGTGAAATGGGGTGGTGGTGGTGATGGGTTTTTCAATTTGTATTTTTGTGGTTGCTACTAGTTCCCTTTTTTAAGTTTTCAAGTTTGTTTTATCTGATGGTTGTGGTGGTTGCTTGTCTGATTTTTGCTATTGTTGCAGATCTGTGGGGGTTTCTCCCGAACGGTGTTGTTGGAGTGGTAGTGCTGGTTTCCATATTTTGGTGGTGTTGGGGATTTAGGTTGATTTTTGTTGATGGTGTAGGTGGAGTTGCTGGTGGTGGCATTGGCGGTGAGGGTTGGTGATGATAGTGGTGGTCATGGCGGTGGTGCGTTGGTTGTAAGTGGGATGCGCATGGGATGGGGGTTGTGACCGTTTGTGGTCGATTGTGACCTGTGACCTTGGCTGTGACCTGGACTGTGACTTGTGACCTGGACTGTGACCGTACAAAAAATTCATGTCATCGGAATAGTCGTCGGAATCGGAGCAGTCGCCGGAACAGTCACCGGAATAGTAGTGGTCGCCGGAGAAGTCGTCGGAATCGGAGTGGTCGCCGGAGCGGTCGCCGGAGTGGTCGCCGGAGCAGTCGCCGGCGTGGTGGGGTGGTGGTGGTGGGGGTGGGTTAATTTTATATATATATTATATATTTATTTATTTATTTATATCTTTTTATATATTTAAATAAATAAATATTTATAAATGTGTGTATATATAGGTCAAAAAATCTGATTTTTGAAATGTAAAAGTTGTTTTATTATTTTTGAAATAGGGTAAAGATAAAGTAGGGAAAGTGAATTTTTCCCTTTAGAAAATTACAAGCGACCACATTGATAATGGGTCTATCGGTCCACTTTCTTGGAAACTAAATTATTCACTATTTAATAAAAATAATAATGCGTTTCTTTTTATTAATTACATTGAATTCAATAAGGTTAGTTTGATTGCAAATATGAAAAACTGGTGGAAAAAAAATGAATTTTAGGAAATTGAATTGTCTAAAAATTGTTTTACTGTGAATTGTAATTAGTTGTGTTTAATTGGTATAATTTTTCACTTGAAAAATGTTGAAAGTTTGGTTTCCGTTTGGCTTTATTTTTCATAAAAATTGTTAATTAAAGTGATAATTTATTTTACCATTAAGTCTAGAATTTGTTTCACTTGCCAAAAAAAATTACCATATCAAATATCATTCGTTTGACTTTGTTTTTACATGTAAATTGTCAATAAAAGTGATAATTTTTTTTACCATTGAATCTAGAATTTTTTCCAATTATATAAAAAAAAAAAAAGAACTGGAAAATGAAAACCCACCTAAAAGGTGGGAAAATAATTTCAACAAAAAGGTGAAAAATGTGCACTTGTGAGAGAAAGTGAGAAAACACTTTCCATGAAAAAAATTTCCTATCAAACACTAAAAAAAAATTAGAAAATGTCCATGAAAAATATTTGTATCAAACGGAGCCTAACTTGAATGGTAGAGTGCACTTAAGGTGAGTTGGAAGGTCACAAAGCGAGTAGTTCAGGTATGAATGTGCAAGGTACTTCTAATTAATGTCCAAAATGAGGTAGGGTAAAACAAAAAATATAAATGTCCATATAAGACAGTTGACATGAGAAGAGAGGTAAGGGTGGAGCCCGTGGAGGACATTATGTGTACTACGGTGGAGGAATTGGTTCCATCAATGAAAAATTGAATAAAAACCAGGGAAATTTTGGCTGCAGTAATCGAATCAATAACCATCAAATCATTTATATTTCATAAGAGAGTTCAAAGCAGGTAAATTGTCAACCAATTGATCGTAGACTTGAAAATTACTTACTCCAAAAGTGGAAATTCCAATTTATGGGAACCTTTCGATCAAAAATGCTAATTGAACCTACCAAAAATCACTTTCGAATATCGCATGACTTGAAATATGAACAGAGTGAGCAAGCCATAGATAGTTTTTGGGTACCTGAAACAAAGACGTCATTCCATTATAGTTCCTCCAGTGTTTCTTGATATCTGAAACAAAATCGAGTCATCGATGGTCAAGGTGCATCAAGTACTTCCATTCCTATCCAAAAAAGTAAGAAACACGGTGAATTATATTAGGAATATCAATAATTCGTTTAATTAGTTATCAGATATCAAACTCCAATAA